TCAACCTATAAAACCTAAAAACACTAGATCGAAATGGGGTTCAATGGAGGTGCTTGGGGTGCTTGCATGCAGATTTTTTTCAAGTTTATTATGCAAGTAGTCAGAATTAGATGTTGACAAATTAAGATGTTCTTCAAGATCTTGATGATAAAGTGATTTCCCCCTATCCACATAAAAAGCTAGGATTCAAATCGTAATAGATCATGTGGTGAGATGACAAAAAGCACTCTACTTGTTTTCAAAAGCCTGGCAGAAATTTAAAGGATTCTACTCATTACATTTCCCTCCATCTTGGGATGAGTGCCTCAAGTTCTTGACATATTAGTATGAAAATAGTACAAAACAAGACTTTGTAGACATTTCAATTACCAGTTGTCTATTTCCTTAAATATTTTCAATGAACTTATTCAGTAAAGCTTACGTTTAGAAGCAATTTGAATAGGGTGCTGTAGAAATATTGTCTCAAATAGTCTTTAAGCCGAAATGTAGAGAGAATGTCATAATTTCCTCATGCCTTGAGCAACAAAAAAAGCAAAAAAAAAGCAGCGAAAAGAGCAATTTTAGTGACATATTCACAACATTATATGAGTAAATGCCCTTCTGGTTACAAACATACAGTTTTTGATAATTTGTTATAGATAAGTACTCAAATATTCCAGATATCCCTTTAAACATTCTTGTTATTCTACTATTGAAATGGTTGCACAGTCACTCAATATTCATTGCAATACCTTATAAGTGCAACCACTTTCAATAATAGGATGAACAATGATACACTGCAATTCCTGAACAATGCCGTCATTTTTAAATGATAGGATGGACAATGCCCATTGAGCAGTCACCACAGGATCAATTACATTCCGTAGGTTTTTGATCCATTCATCAAAGATTCTATTAGGCAGACAGTAGGATTAGACACGGTATCCTTCCATTGTACGACCACCCTTTATGTTTAATGTATCCCCATGGAATTCAACTATTGGGACGCAATTGCGAAACGTTTTGTGTCAGTTATAGGATTAGGCTCTTCACAAAGACTGTGAGGATGACTTTAATAGTTATTTTATTGAGTGTATTGCATCAGAAACGATTCAAAATGCAAACACTTTTCTTCAATAACTCACTCTCGAGTCGATAGTAGAGCAATTATTCAGGGGAATAACTTCAAAATGTCAGTTTCCTGTACTGTTTCTTTTGGAAAGAAAATTATATGTATTTCTCAGCAATCATTATGTGTGGATAGAAAATAACCTTTATAAGAAATGCTTCTAAAATGTCAGAAATACTGTGGTTTTCGTTTTGTCCATATATATATATATATGTAAAGGGACTCCTTACAAGTATTCTAAGGAAAAAACACACTTACATTGTTGATTATTGGCATTTTGGAGAAAAGTGGATTAAAAATTTGCAGGAGTTTTGAGCTAAAATATCCTCTCTCCTTCTCTCCTTCCTAGTCTGTCTGTCTGTCTGTCTCTCTCTCTCTGTCTCTCTCTCTGTCTGTCTGTCTCTCTCTCTATATATCTATCTATCTATCTATCTATCTATCTATCTTTCCCTCTCTTTCCCTGTCTCCCTCTTTTTCACTGCATCTCCTTGTCTCTTAATTAATTCCTTCTTTACCTCTCTCCTATCTCTGTTTCTATATCTAACCATCTTCTTTTTTTCTCTCTCTGCCTGCTTGTCTGTCTGTTTCTGTCTGTATTTCTCTCTCTCTCTCTCTCTCTCTCTCTCTCTCTCTCTCTCTCTCTCACTCTCTCTCACACTCTCTCTCTCTCTCACTCTCTCCCCCTCCCCATTCCCCTCTCTTTACTTATGTCTCTCTACCCGGCTTTCTTCCACTTTTACTCTCTTATCTTGCTCTCCCCTCTTCTATCTTTCCTTCTCTCTCTCTCTCTCATTTTACATGAATATTATATCACATTCATTTTCTTCTTTCTCTCTCTCTCTCTCTCTCTCTCTCTTTATCCCATTCCCTTTCCCCCACTCTTTCTCTTCATTTCTTTCTCCTATTCATATGCCATCCTTCCAGCCTTCATTTGTTTGTTTTCCCTCTCAAAGTACAACTGCTCCCGTTCCTCCCCCTCTTTAAAGAAACAGGCGGCAAACCGATATTTTTCTTTCTTTTCAGCAATGTATCTGAGCTGGAAAAAATGAACAAATCTCTGCTCTCAGCCCGCACCAGAACGATTCTTTCTTCTGGTTCTCCTTCGCCCGGCCTAGCGAGCCTTTCGGCTTCCCTTTTGCTCAAACCCATCCCGCATGCCATCGATGGTCGCACCCCTAATTCCTTATCAATAGGAATCACCCTGGGGCAGTGTAAACTGACTAATGGTATAGTGTTGGAGGAATCCTAAATAGAATTGTAACAAGGGTGTGTTCTCTTCCACCACCAAGCAACATTTCTTTATATCAAATGTGGTCTTTAAAGGTTTCAAGTATGTTAACGATGGTAGGTTTCCAGGAGAAGTGTAAACTGACTAATGATAAAGTGTTGGAGGAATCCTAAATAGAATTGTAACTTTGGTGTGTTCTCATTTAAGACCAGACAACATTTCATCAAATGTTTTCAATAAGGAAACGATAAGACTCACCCTTGGGCGGTATAAACTGACAAATGCCTGGTATAGTTTTGGAGGAATCATAAATAGAATAGAATTGTAACTTGGATGTGTTCCTACTTGCCACTTCCAATGTTTCTTTACATTATATGCTTGAATGTGGTCTTTAATGGTTTCAAGTTTGGTAACACTGGTAATTTTCCCTGGGGTGGTGTAAACTGACTAATGATATAGTGTTGCAGGACTCCTACCAGTATATAGAATTGTAACTTAGATGTGTTCCCATTTATTACCAGACAACATTTTATTATGATGTGCTGGCACATAGTTTTGAAACCTTGCCTGAAACCTTAGTCCTGAATTTCCCCCGGAATTGTTTGTTTTCTGTTTTGATTGTATATTCCGCCTATTTGCATTTTTTGGACCGTTTTGTAATTACTATATAATGACTCAAAGTTTTTGACAGTGACAAATGGCAAATTGAAGTCTGCCATAAGTTGCTTCACATTTTAGATATGTAAAGCAAACATAAGTATACATGATGTGACATAATGTATGTAGACTTTAAACTAAAAAAGACGAAAGAAAAGTGTATTAGGTAATGATATGTAGCGAAATAGAAGCTAGTAAAGGTTTAGCAATTTTTTTCTAAATCATTTACCGCCTTGGAAAAGTTTGACCCAAAATGTACAGACTCATGCTTCATCATGTTTATGTGTATCTTGCCTGCTATTAAGAAATGTTCAGTGATGAGTGAATGCACTAAAAAGTAATTTACTATGTAGTATGAACAATGTAATTGATTCTGTAATAATTGGAAAAAATGTAATTTACATTGCATTTGTATTTTAACAAAAAATGTAATTTGCATCACCAATGTGTACGTTCTGAAAGGTTTGAAATTCCTGAGTTGAATCTGACAGCCAACAATTTAATGAGCCTTTTCATGTACATTTCTGCATGAGTTAATGAAAAGAAAATATGCTCTTTATGATTGTCAGGACGCAAGAACTTCAGTAATAGCTTACTTGAATATTCTGCCCAAGTTAAAATTTAAAAGAAATGTGTTGTAAATTAATATTCTTTTCCTGAATTAGTGATTATCGGTGTAAGGTTTTAATTTTACTGATCTAAAGGATTACTTGTTTATTTTGTATCTAGCTTTCCACTCTGTTATGCTTCAGGACACTCCTGACCTACATCCATCATCTGATGTCTCTTAAGCTCTCAACTTCTATTGTTCTGTCCCTATTCATTCCTTACCATTCAACACTACCTGACATAGCACCACACATACACACACACACACTCTTTCTATCTCTTGGCTATTCAACCCAGCTCACTATAGACACATGGTACTTTATCTTTCCTTAGGCCTTCTATTGGTTACTTAATTCATGTACAATCTTGTGATTGGTTGTTACTGTTTTATGGACTGCATGTCAGCCATCTTGGCAGCCATTTTGAAGATGTAGTAAAATATAGTGCAGTGCAGCTCAAGTCAACAATCATGTTTGACTAGTTTTGTCTTGTGAGTCTTACAACTGATGACAGCGGTGGGATTCAAACACACACTATCGAAATGACTGGTGAATTTTTGTCTGTGAAGGATACATGAATTTCAATGATACTTTCTGTTGTGGTAAAAACTAATCCTTGTTGGCGGCACAAAAATCTTGTTTCAAGGAAAAACAGACCTGCGTTCGATGAGGATACAATGTCATTATTAATCTCTGTGCATTCTCGGTGTCATTGAGTGATTATTTTAGAAGGTTTGGAGTATTCCATGGCTATAATCTAGGAGGATGAAATGATATTTCATGCTTTGTGATGGGATATTAAAGGATTTTACTCCATATACGCCAAGGGTAATTTTAGATAACCTTCTGAAGAGAGAGAGAGAGAGTGAGATAAATATTGTGCTGTAATCGACCACGGAGCTACAAATAGACTGATAAAGTGAAGAGTGTTCGCTTCCGAATTGGCTAAGCGCTCAGGTAAAAAGATCTAAAACACACACTAACAGTGCATCATTATGCAGTACATTGCTAGTGCATGCATCTCTCTCTCTCCCTCTCTCTTGCTCTGTGCTCGCTTCGTAGCTCAGCGCACACACCAACAAAACTCTGCGCTGTGAGTGGCCAGGAGTGCTTGGTAAAGTCCGCCTCCTACTTGACTAGCTCTCACTTAGTCTTGGTCTGCAGGCACAAACCCTTATTAGCTGTCGTTGATAAAGTAATGTCTGAACGACGAGACTATGCTGACTACTTGGTCTACTGCACTCCATAGGCTTTGTACTTTAGCTGCTCCCGACAATATGACATGTCCAGAGACTGATAGATGTGGGCTCAGCTCAAGAGTTTATGGAATATTGTTTTGAAGTGTCGAGTTAGAGTCTGCATATGCAGACTAGCATGCACTCAGCGCAGCAAATGAGGAGAGCTCTCCGCTCAGGCTCAACGTGAAAATCCCTCTACATCCATTCATCTCAATACATACTCTCTCTATCCCATGCAGGCGCACTTATTGCATTGTATACTCCAACAGCCGAGGAGAGCTGGATAGCTTTTGATCAGCTCTTTCTTTTGTAAAGGCTCTTCTCTTTAATTTAACTAAATGAGCCGCTGTCATTCGCCGACATTCTCATGAGGCTACTTGGAAGACATCCGTATAGACAGTTCTCTTATCCGACAGCAAGACTTCCATGCAAGCCTTAATCCACCATACCATTGGATTTTCAGGGATTATGTCCTGCATTTGATTTAGAGTGACAGCTATCTATTGAAGAGGGGTAAAGTCGTCCAGAAAAGTTTTGAAGAGTCTGGAGAAGTTTCGCCGTGAAACCTTGCAAAATATCGTGGAACATTCTTACCAGCGGACGGACAGAAAAGAGGATTTTGTGACCCTTCCCGATCTTTATGTCTGCGAAAAGGAGGACTTAAAAATTGGATGCAGCGAAGCTTGTTTTTTAGAGAGAAACCTAGAAAGTGTAAAAGGATTTACTAAAGAGTGCGGGAGAAAGGTAGTTGTGGAATAAAATAAATTGAGGCAGAGCTTTGTAGACGAAATTGGCAATAACTGTTGAGGAAGTTGAAAGCAGTGTCAAAACATTTGTGGAAACCAAGTGATTATTCAATTAGCAAAGGATCTATGGAAGATAAAGTGTTTTCCATCTCATACTGCAAATCTTTGAGCTGATCCAAATTCACCAAATAACCTCCACATTGCTCTTGCCGAAGAAAGATCTGGATAAACTGGATTACTATCTATATGGAAGCATCATCTGGATATATTTATGTTGAAGAGTTTCTATAAATCAACCATAGTTATTTTAACTGCCAACTGGGTTGCGCTCTGTCTCCAGCAAAGCGTTAAATCAGAATTTTGGTTGCAGAAGTTGTTTAGGCTTTGGAGAGTTTCTTTGAGCTGTACTAAGAAGAAGAAGAGCAGAAATACAGATTGACTCTGTAAGAATGTTAATGAGGGGACGATTTGGAGAGGCAAATCGGTAACGACCGCTTGAACCAACAGTCGACAGGGCTTAACGGTGATATTTATCTCTGCGTCAAGTGGGATACGAACCGCTCGTCAAATATCATCGGGACTCGTTCGTCAGGACATTAACCCTACCAACCCCGTCCTCAAGACTCGGATCTGAGTTTTGGTTAGTAACTGTGTAGCGATTGAGCATTGCATGTTGAGCCTAAGCTTCATAAATCCCTGGATTTCTGAGGATATTCAATGTTATTTTGAGACTTACGCCGGTGACAGTGCTGGCTGCTCAGTGTCTCAATTACTGCATTGTCAAGTTTAACTGTGGTTTTGTTGATCTTCCACATTGGACGTATCAGGATTTGTGACCAGGGTACCCATTGCTTGATCACTTTCTAGAAGATTGGAGATCATAGAGAGGGCAATACTTCATCAACCAGCTTCAGAGGAATGGCATGACAGAATCAATATCATGCATCATTTTTCTCTTTCCTCCCCCAAATTGCTGTCAAAAAGTACTTGACAGTGCACTTCACGACCGACAGCGTATCGCTTACTGGCATATTTGCGATGTGTATGCATACAAGATTATACTGTAAAATGATGTCGGTATGATATGAGGAGCTGAGCTAACCGGATATACGCGAAATTGGGTTTTGAGAGGAGCGAGGAGAGCAAAGGAACTTGACACTGGTTTGGTTTCTGTTTATAAGGAGTTATTCTGGATGCCGGCTGCGACACGGTTTACTTGGGTGAAAAGTGGTGAATCTAGGAGTGGAACTGATTACCATAACAGTAGCAAGTAGGGGTCTCGAGGGAGACAGTTACAGAAGTCACTACCGAGTGGCAGAGTGCAACGATCGTCTTCCTCTCCGGAGACTCTCGAGCTTCTTAACCCCTTGCCGACCAAGCACCTTAGCATCTGCGAGGGATATCTCCGAGTCCAGTCGGGGCTTAGAGGCACGTTCCTATCCCCACCTTCCAAATCGGGCGTCACTCGTCGCCCTCATACCCTTACAGGTATACATTTACCAATACAAGGACCCCTGCCTTGGCTCCGTAGTGAACTCTCGTCCTGGCGGCGCTCTACAACGATTCGGCCAATTGACTTGCCCTTGTCCGTCAGTACGCCGCTACGATTGCAACTCCAGATGATTGGAGGTAACCGAATCTAGGTTCTGGAACTCCGTTCGCTCGCCGAAGAATTACGTTTCACGGAAATCACGGAGCTATAACCTTGTTGGGACAACTTGTGGTCGCATTTCTTAAAAATTGAGTGGATTTCAGGAGGAATTCATACCTCATCAATCAGTGAATATTTGTGCTAGTGGACGATAATAGTTTGTTGTCTTATTCGAAAAGGAAACTACTTTGATGACATATTGTCACAGCAGATTGCGAGGAAGCATTTCTTGGTAGTCAATGCAAAGAATCTTATGGATAAACACCGGCATTCTGGAGCTACAGTTGCCTGCATCATCTTGAAGATGTTCAAAGCATTTATTTAATTTGTTGGAGATAAAAAAAAAACAACTATCAAGCTACCGAGAAACAAGGATTATCCTTTCATCATGTTTGTGGAAAATTTTTCTTGTGGATATAACTCATTTTCGAAAGCAATGGCTTTCAAAAGGAAATCAGTGCCATTCTGGATATATACTTGTCTGCTGATAACATTAGGTGAGTATAAAATATGCATTGATTTGCGTCTGCACTACCCCAAGCACTTGATATAATTATGAACATATTTCAAAATACTAGCAATGTATTTCTTCCACTGCATTCTCATTTTCAATCTAGCTGAATGAAATATACTTTCATTCTTAGCATACCAATAATTTTGAGGTTTATTGCCAAACGATGCCTCAAATTAGTTGCTGGTATTTGGCCATGCCATATGTTTGTGAATACTAGCTTCATAGTTTTGTTCTTACTTATAACTCTCCAATCAGTACAAGTGCTTGTTTATTCGTTAAGGAAATCATTTCTAGTAACTTTCATTTTAAAGTAGTGCAATTTTAAAATGCTTTACTGAATTTCTGAGGGCATATGTTATGATTATAACTTTACCACTGACTAAATATTTTAGATTGGTAACACAAAGTCTTTATGCAAGATCTTTATTTTCTCTAACAAATAAGTTTGTCTTTTCCTGCAATATGCAATATCTAGCCATACAGTTTCATTTCGAGATAGATATATGTTTGAGACTGTAAAAGCAACAACAACAACAAATGTTGTCAATTTGCCCTGAAAAGGCTGATTAATTCAGATAATACCTATCCTTGATGGGTCGATGTAACTAGGCTCAAAACCATTTCCAATTCCCAGTAATGTGTTCTGCCTATGGCATGGCAATGCCTACTGCTCAATATTCAATTGAAGCACCTCAGATATTCTTATTCTACTCGCTATTATGTCTTCTGTTAGTTCTGTATATCTATATTTATGTGACATTTTCACTTTTGAAATGATTGGAGCTGTTTACACCTTTTCCAAGAGCGCGCAGGTGATACCAACGTAGCTTTTTTGTCATTCCTGCCTTTGACAAATTTTCATAACAGCGAATAAAAATCAGGAAAAAATCAATACTGTTACCAAGATACCTGACGCACAGTAGTTTGCTAGAATCATATTCTATTGGCGAGACAAGGCTTATCATTTGCAAGTACATCACATGCAATCATAATCAAATGATCGCATAATAAATCATTGAAACCTAGCAAAGAATATGAGGCATCGTTACCAAATTATTACCTTATGAATAATTCATGAGCACGCCAGTGGGAATCGATAAGTAGACAATTAATTCAAATTCGGATCAAGTAAAAAAAAAAAAAATGATTGCAATCGACAATATTTCTAACTAAAACAGAATTGATATAAGCCGATTCTTTTTAAGCATTGGTTGCCGCAATCCCGAGTATTGATTTATAGATTTGTCTCTGCAATCTTTCGACGGCTGAGCAGCAAGAATAGGGATTAGGGTTTTTGTTCCTGGTGGTGCTTTTTGCTTTTTTTTGCCAGAGAGTCGTAGTATTGTATTTGAATGGCGCAATACCAGGATGAAATTAGTTTTGGAAGCATAGATGATATTCATTTCATTTATTAGCTTTTTGCTGACTCTGGTTGGTTCTCAGCCTTCTAAATCAATCAGGTTTTGATTATTAATCGTAAATTGATATGCAGAGAAATGTAATGGGTAAACCAGAGAGCAAGGCTAACTGGCCTTGTGTCTATGGGCACCAGCTTCATTTTCATCTCTCTCTCTCTCTCACTCTCTCTCTGTCTCTCTCTCTCTCTCTCTCTTTCTCTCTTTGTGTCTGTCTAACTCTCTCCCTCTCTCTCTCTCTGTCTATTTGTCTCTCTCTCTATCTTTTCTTCCTTCTCTCTCTCTCTCTCTCTCTCTCTTTCTCTTTCTCAATATTTTACTTTTGTCTCTGTCTCTCTTTCTCTCCATGCCTTATTCTTTCTTTAACTTTGTTTCTTTGTTTCTTTCTCTTCCCTCTCACATATTCTTTTTTGTCTCTGTTTCTCCCTATCTCTCCCTCTTTCTCCCTATCTCTCCCTCTTTCTCCCTATCTCTCCCTCTTTCTCTCACTGTCTCATTCTTTCTTTCACTGTCTCTTTCTCGTTATCTCCCTCTCAGATATACTTTCTGTGCCTGTCTCTGCCTCTCTCTCTCTCTCTTTCTCACACACACACAATCTAATGTATATTATGTCTTCATCTCTTCAGTTTCACTCACACTTTCTGCGAAGCAACCCCCCCTCTCTCTATCTCGCTCTCTCTCCTCTTTCTATTTTTCTTTTTCTCTCTGTCTGTTCTTCATTTTGATCGTTCTTAGCCTACCACACCTATCTCTTTTGTGTGTAATTATTCCCTTGCAATATTTTTATCAGTGGATTCATGCACTATTATGTGCAACACACATTTTCAAACCACACCCCCCCCTATTTCAAGATCATTGCGTTTTGTTAGCTTTGTCTGAATATGACACATGACACCAATAATGCTTTATCAATCATTTACTTTTCTAAAATACTTCACTTAGTTCCAAATAATGTTCTACCTCTCATCTTGACTGTTCTTATATTATGTTTGCACAGTGTCTCATAGTTCACTGTAGGCCTGTCGTCATCAGCTTGAGATTGCCAAATAGCCCGTTATTTCTGATTTGGGAAATAATCTCAAAGTTACAATTCGCGTTCTCATCAGCTCGAGACTTGACCTCGAAACTTGAAAGTGAAACTCAAGCTCAAGAAATTAGCGCATAGTTGCAAGTCTTCGGGCTGGTGAAAACGCATCGGATATATAGCGGGATATTTTGAAAACTATCCCAAGAAATCTTGGGATGATTATCTTGACCAAATATCCCGCTAATTGCAACTTCAGGCTGATGAAGGCGCAAATTAACTGGATAATTTGCGATCAGGATAGTTCAAATAGCGGGATATTTGGAAATCTCAAGCTGATGAAAACAGGCCTATACTTCACTGTGCAAACTGTCAATCACTCTGTGCAAGAAATTAATTGGCTCCAGCTTGCAAGAGAAAATTATCATTCTGAGATGAAATATATTGTAGAGCAGTTTAGACTGTGAAGAACTCCCTTCGTCTCATTAGGGCCTGTAATCAAATTTTGAGTTAAAAGAGCAAATATTTAGGTCTAATTTGAGGACCCAACTTGAAAGTTGACCAAACTGTAATGAGTCTAGACACAGAGCAGACTGGGTCTTTGTTTGAACAGGTCTGTAACAGATTGGACTTGAAAGAGGGGGGGGGGGGGGGGGGGGGAAACGAGATATGAAAATATTGCGAAGCAGGCCTATATCTATATGAAATGGATCAATAAGTGTATCAATATTATATGAAGAAGAAGAGACTCCCATCCCTGTAATAAATAGGAGGGAAATACCCCCAAATACTGGTAACTTCAAAGAGATTGATCAGAAAGAGAGAGAGAGAGAGAGAGAGAGAGAGGAGGGGGTAGGAGAAGAGAGAGAGAGAGAGAGAGAGAAAGGGAGAGAGAGAGAGATAGAGGAGGGGTAGGAGAAGAGAGAGAGAGAGAGGAGGGGGTAGGAAAAGAGAGAGAGGGAGAGAAAGGGAGAGAGAGAGAGAGAGAGAGAGAGAGAAGAGGGGGTAGGAGAAGAGAGAGAGAGAGAGAGAGAGAGAGAGAGAGAGAGATGGCATTTTACTTTAACAGATTAATGCTGAAGGAGGGCAAAAGTGATAGAAAGAAGGAAGGAGAACAAGTGAATGAGAAGGAGAGATAGAAGAGGAAGAGAGGAAGAAACAAGAAAGGAAAGAGGGGTAAAGTGATCAGAGAAATCGTATCAGTGAAACTTGTTTGCATTAACTGAACATGACCCAAGCAGAGGGACCATTGGTATTTTAATAATGTGTACCTTTCTCATTACCAAGTGAGTCAATTTACATATAACCTGTCAAGTCTGTGTGGATGGACACACTCCAAATTGTTAGCATTGCCATCAATGTGGATTTGTGGTGAGTTACTCACAGTTATATTTTTAGAGGCATGCTCAATTTGGGCTTTTCTCTAAAACTTTTTTTCCTTCTTATCATGTGAAGGTTCTGCCCCCTCCTTCTCCCTTTAGACTCTCTCTCCCTCCCTCCCTTTCTCTCTCTCTCCCTCCCTCCCTTTCTCTCTCTCTCTCTCTCTCTCTCTCCCTCCATTCTTCTTTCTCCCCCTCCATTCGTTTTTCTCCATTCTTCTTTCTCCATTTTTATTTTCTTGATCTATGTCAGTTTCATCAATTCTAAGGATTATTAATATGTGCTCTTAATGAGAATTGTATTTCTTTCTTTAAATTCATTGATAAAGTTAAGGAAGATTTTATCATAACTCCCTTTGCTGTTGAAGAGACACAAAGAAATAGAGTACAATTTTGGAAGAAATTTTCACCTACATGTACATGTAACCATACAATAATCCTCCCCTCCCCCCTTGTAAACAAATGACCTGTATTCAATATACATATATGAATATCTTTCCTCTCTTATTAAATGGTTTAAATGAAAGAGAAATTTTCCCCTCATGTAATACATAGCAAAATGTCCAACTGCAAATGTAATTTCACATACTGATATGACCTAGAGGGAGGTGCTAATATACAAATGTCCTCGTAACGTCAGCTGCTTCGTGGAAGTCCTTCTTCTGCGGAATTAGCACCTACCAATGAAACGTTTGCAGGGACTAGTAAAACTACTGCATACCAAAGATTTAAGTAATTTTTATTCTAATCAAAAGAAATAAAATTAAGCAGAGAGGGGATAGTATGAATACCTGACTGATTAATTTATTGGTGGAAAAGGGATAAATTCGTTAGCAACATTAGTCATAAAAAATAGCTGTTGAGAGCTAAAGGGCATTTACTAATCTTGTATAGAGTGAATGCTCTTCTGGCTCCAAACAGATCTCAATACATTTAACTCTTAGAATATATTCAGCATGTATTTTCTTTTATTATATCATTCTAGTGTCACAGCTGTCTCCCCCCCTTTTTTTGGGGGGGGGGGGTGTGAAAGTAAACATCATAGATGTAACCCATTCTTTTTATATTTTGATTTTTTGCGTAAAAATCTCCATAGAGCTGTTTAGGATTTCATATTTTATTCTCTTTACTTTCAGGAAAATATAAAACTTCACTATGACCATCT